GAAATAAACTTACATACAAAATTTCACCAAAATCGGTTCAACTTGAGATATACGCGTGCACACACAGACTGATAGACCGACAGGTTGCTAAAAAGGTTGTTTATTTACACATCCCTGGAGAATTGCGTTCCAACCGAAAAATCGATATGCGAAATTTGTTACCATCACATAACCTACCTATTGTATACACAATGCGGTCGGTAAAAATTAAATAGACCACGATATGAATAAACACGCTGCATGTTGTCTTTCTACATGCAAGTGTTCTGTCCATGTAAAAACTTTAAGCTTGCTTTCACTTCGTCAATGAATAAAATTAAATGTGAATAAAAGAAAATGTGTAATAAAAATGTGTTCTACGTAGTATATGTTGCAAACCTGCAAATCATAAATAGCTGTGGCGAATTTAAACTCCTTATATATTTTCTTCATTAATTTATGTTTTTTACAAAAAGACGAAAATGTTGCAGTAGCAATGTTGAGATTTTAATTCTTTTTTGTTAGAAATATTCTTGATTTTTAACGATTTAATATCATCTGCTTCAATCTTTTCATTTATTCCATGTTTAAACAATGTGATTATATTTTCCTTAACTTTTATTGGAGAAGATTCATAAGGCATACCAACAATATCAAAATTTATTCCGAAGGTCTCTTTGTTCCAAATAATTAGCCTTCGATTCAAGAACAGAAATAGCTTTTGTTCTTTTAATTTTGGCTAAGGCATCTGAGTATACTTGTTGAAGTTTACTGATCTCCTCGTGGGTAGATAATGGTATTTGAAATATTAGTTAGATATAAAGACATGTGCTTGTCCGAACTGATAGATTGTCTCCTTTTTTCTCTTTAATAGCAGTATTTTCTTCATAATAATTACCAGTAGCTAATAAGAGCTTTGTTTGTGTTTGTTTCAATTGCCGGAGAATCCCTTAACATTGATTGCCTGAGAAAACGGATACATTTTACACAATTGTAACTTACTTTATTTTTTCATAAAATTATATTTCTTGCTCTTGTTTTACACAATTCCCATGTTCAAATTTTTTGCAAATTGAATATAGAATTTTTAAATTAATTCTTTTTAATTCAATCAAACCGGTAAGGCACTTCATTATAATAATATAAATTTATAAAAGAAAGTTTATAAATTTGGTATAATGAAAAAAAGTTCTCCAAATCTCCACTGCGTACCCATCAACGATAGAAAGAGAACTCTAATCTCAGTAATACGGTATCAGAATTGACAACACAATACAATTTTTTTTTCGTTCTCTCTTTTATTTTTTTTTATTTTCTTATTTTTATGCGTATTACTTCCCTTTTATCGTAAAAATCTCGTTACAAATTGTCTATTGTAAATTAAAATAAAAATAATTCGTGTTTGTATTGAAAATTTGAAACTTTTTTTTGGGATTGTAAATACTGAATGGCAGTCTACTATAATCAAATTCTACAAAAATGATGTTTTTTGTTTCGAAAAAATTTTATCAAACCTAAAGGATTAATTCAATAATACATCTTATCTCATATGTATCTTAAAAAATACTCAAAACATAACATGAACCATAATTGTATTAACTACGTAATATAAGGCTATTATTTGAAGAAATAATATAATCGCACTGCTGTCACATACTTGGCACAATTAACTCTTCCTATACCTGTACATAATATTTTATCAAAATATTTACACACAATTTTGTTAGGTATCTACATAGCATGTACATATTTCTTGTTAGTTATTATGTAAAAATAAAAAAAAATCCAAAGAAAAATCTATTGGAGAATGCGTAAAATTTTTATTCATTCTTTTAACATATTTTATACTTTACAGTATTTTCTAAGCACTTTTTATTGGACACGTACGAACGAATATTCAAAGAGAATTATAAATTTAACATTCCATTTGTTACATTAAGAAATAGATGCCTGAGATATGCCAAAAGTAATATTTTCGGTCAGCGTCAAGTAATGTTTTTGGTGAGTTGATTTAGCTACATATATATGTTCGTCCGTCTATCCGTCTATCTGTCCGTCCCAGTGATATGTGGATTAATAAAACGCTTTCCCAACTAGGCTTACTGAATTTTTGCAAATTACTAATGGTAGTTATGAACATAAATATATTAACGTAATTAGAACCTTGTTTAAATTGGGTTCGGTTGAAGTAGTTTTTCAAATAGCTCTCTTACAATTCTAGAAATAACTTAATCATACCTTATAGAAACAAGTAAGCATAGATTTACCAAATTTAGCCTAAACAGTTTTAGTAATAGGGTCTTCAAATTCCGAATATACAAACACGGTAATACTTAATCTAATTGGATTTTATCCGAATTTTTTTTTTTTGATTCACTATTTTTATAATATTTTATTTTAATTGATCGTGGCTTCACAATACTCAAACTTCACGTCCAGAAGTTTAGTAACATGACCACTATTCGAAAAACATATTATAGTAAAACCACATGGCTATCACACAACTCTTAAAAAATATTCACACGAGTGTAACACTATCACAGAGTTGACACGGTCAAAACCATATTTTTTCGTTGCAGGATTAGCTTTAATCACGTACTGATTTAATATATTGCAATTTAAATACATAATTAAACTTTACACGTACAACAGTAGAAAACCAACACTAAATAAGAAATCGAAAAAAAAAATAAAAAGCAAGAAACTAAATAGTAAAAAATTAATGAACTGAATTACAAATATTATTCAGAAAACTGAACAAAATGTAAGTTCTAATTTTTGGGTCATACTTTATGGCGCAAATTTTTAATTTATCGAATTCACATTTAGCTAATGCAATTCACGCAGTAATTCCAGTCAGATGTGACTTAAGGCTAAATTTAAACCAAAAACTGTTTAAAAATAAAAAGTATAACAATATTATTACCAACACAACATACCATCATTTAATAATATTTAAATCACATGGAAAAATATTATTACATATTAAAAAATAGGTTCTCATTTTAAATATAAAAAAACAACGTAATTTTGTGCTACACAACTTTTATTCTTATTTCAAATTTATATTATCTAATATATTAACAGTCGCCAATTATTGCCAATAAACTTAAACATAAAGTGTAAAATGTTAAAGAGTTACATTTAACGTAGATAACGAAAAGTCATTTATCTCCTCAAAGTTTCTCAAATACTTGTTGAGATCTTTCACAAAAGGTTCTCAATGCCCTGACTCAATGTTTATATTATTGCAAACACTTTCATACACTTAAACTTGGCTGAATTATGTATATTTAAATTACCTATATATACGAGTAATGATTCACTTACATATGATTATATAATTTACTTATATTTCCAAAAATGAATTAATTGTAAAATATGTTTAAAATAGTTTGAAATTCTATTCATATTCTTTTATATGAAAGTAGTTACAGTGCAACCAAGTTGAAATTAATTTTAAAGTTAAATTAAAGCAAATGTCGTTTAAAAATTATAAAATATTTTTTTATTATGATTAAAAAGGAGTTGAATTAAAAGCATAAAATAAAATTAGTGAATATAATTTTAAGATAAATAAATATATATAAATTAATAATAAAGGCAGTAATAATAAAGAACATTATAAATAAATCTAATCTTTTGTGATTTTTAAATAAAATACCGTGACTTCAATAATGCTTTATAAAACGTTTAAATACGGTATTAATACGATTGTAGTACCATAAATAAATAATTGTGTTTAGCTGTAACATTTTATAAAAAATTTAAATTAAAGAACACATACATATGTATGTATATTTTTTCTCTTTAAACTATAACAAATAATTATTGACTTAAATATTAATTTTAAAAATTAACAATATTATTTAATTATCTAAATTAATTTTCTTATTTATGAGATATTGTCTTCGGTGTATATATGGTCTGCATATACACATATACATAAGTATATTTAATTATTCAATATCAAATTGACAATTTCATTTACATAACATAAAAATAGCATTGGACCAAGAGAGCTTTACTGAACCACACGGTAACACATTTTGCTAAAAACTTTTAATTCTATCCGATTTAATATATTTTGTTTTCTATCCTTCAAACTATTTAAAAACTTTTTGTATTCATTTCATTTTCTTCCCATGATAAGTAAAACACTTCATAAATTTTCCTGCTTTACGGAGACAAAAACTTTTAAAAGCTATGCGAAAAAAAATATTTTTAAGTATTAAAACTTTTTCTGAACCCCCAATGATTAAATTCTATTTATTTAATTAATAATATTGATTTACTCAATAACAATAGCCTCTATAGTTTTCTCTATATGTTGTTGTATGTATACATCGAAATTGGGCAATAATTATTTATATTTTCTGGCTCAATTTTATAAATAGCACACTACAACAGGTTCTATAAACTTGTCATGAAAAGTACAGGTTTTTCAGATGTACTTGCACCTTCTATTACATATTTCTTGGAGTAAATTTCGTTCAGCACCACTCTAATAATAATTAAATTTTTAGATACTTATGCTATTACGTTATTTTAACATATTTAATACAACTTAGGCTGCCTTTTATAGAGTATACTTGCCGCTTATGTTCGTTTATATCAAAATTTCATTAATACTATGCTAAATATAATTACGTTTTCGATAGCTTTCCAAGCTATCGAGCAGAGAAAAATTAGTATTCAGAATTGTGGAACGTAAAATAGGGTCATTGTACATCACAATGTGTTTAGGGAATTGCTAGAATAGAACGAAATTTACTTTAATTTAATAAGCAGCTTAGTAAACTTGCGTAAACTAACAGTCAATGCTGCCAAAACGAATCAGCTCTATCATGAATTCCACTCGTAGAGTTCTACGAATTACGACGTAGATTTTTGAATGATCACAAATTTCTTTTGTCAAAAAACGCAGTTTGCGTTTCTAGCCGATTTAAAGTCAAGTGCTCAAGCTACAATATAGACGAGGTATAGAAATAAAGCAATTTAAGAAAAAAAAATGCGTAATATTTTAACAATAGAAATATAATTATTACCGATACATGCGTGTATGTTCAAGTATATTAATAGGAAATATGTGTTTTAAATTTATAAAGAAATTATGATATGGATATGCCATTTTTGCCACTTTGTACTGGAATGAATTACAGAAATGGTTTTGTGCTTCTTTAAAATGCTTTATATTTTTCCCTATGCGTAATACTTTCCTCTTGAATGTTAAAGTATCATCATCATGTCAGAATTTCCATCATGTCTTACCACCTAGGCCACCTAGGGTCCAATGAGTACTCGGTATAATATATGATATAATATGATGCGGTTTCTATTTTTTATTTTATTTTTCCTTTCTTTTTTCATATTTCTTGTTTCTTTTATTTTGTTGTATAACAAAAATTTATATTTTAATTAATAATATTGTTTTTTTTTTTTATCGAAGCTCAATAAAATCATTTTTCATACTTATAAATTTTATATTGGATTGGCAGCCTCCTTATTTCTAGTTTTTGGTTTCTTCAGTATTGTGTAAATTTTCTCTTCATAAATAATATATGCCTGAAAAAGAGCATATATGTATATATATGCATTTATAAAAATAATATGTAACTTAAAACTATTTATATAAACATACTATTACAAATAAAATCACAGAAGAAATGCATGTACTTCCTAAAACATTGATATAATTGTGTAATTTTCTGGAATAAACTAACAAACATCCTTCCTTTTGAAAGCTAGGTTCTAGTTCAGTACAATTTTTTTCAGAATTTACAAAACCGCAGCATGCCGAAGGATAAGGATGGTTAAAATTCCTCCAAGTTTTTGAATCTTCTAATCCACAACATTTGTGCTAAAAAATATTATTTTATTAATATATCTTAAATATTAAAAAGCTAATGTATATAAAAATATAAATCTTTAATAATGTAAGGTAATATAACAACCCCTACTCACATCTTTAAGAAACTGGTTAAAATGATTAATGTTGTATCCTGCCTTATAAGCTTCAAACAATTCAGTCAATTCTTCCTTCATGGAAAGTTCGTAAGTAAAACTTTGTAAGTACAAAAATAAAGTGAACACACAGAAAAATAGAGTATTCATAAGAAAAGGGAAATATAACTCGAATTTAGGGCCATAACTGCCCACAATTTTACCCCATAATATACAAACAAAATACAAAAAATTTACATAACATATAAAAACTACAAAAAACATGGGAAGATTGGCGTATGGACATAAATCCATTATTAAATAAACTAAATATAACTGCACTATATGAATCTGTAAAAAAGAATGTGAAAAAACTAATTTAGTAAAATAATTTAAAGTAACATGATTAATTTGTTATGAATGATATTTACTGAACAAATTTATTGAAAAAACTAATTTAGTAAAATAATTTAGTAAAGTAAAATGATTAATTTGTTATGAATGATATTTACTGAACAAATTTATTGATAATATTTTAGTAAGAATTATATCTTCATTCTATTTATTTATGTACAACCCTTTTGAAATCTGATATCATTTAATGATATAATTAAAAGATTAATACTTTTCTAATCAGCAAAAATGTAACATTTTTAGCATCACAACTTCAAAAAAAATTATTTTTTGCATTGAAGCAAAAAGTTTATATTATGATTTAACAATGCTACTACACTTATGTGATTGATAATTTAACAATATTATAAACAAATTAGATTAGCACCATTTGTTTTTGAATATTAATATAGCGCAGTTCTTAATATTATATCACGGTAATATATACTCTACTATCACGATATATATACTCATAATTCAAAGAGCACAAAATCGAATTTTGTGAAAAATAATAAATGCCCCTTGGTATGTGCGAACTAGTACTCTCCGTAGAGACCCAAACGTTGCAGCGGTCCAAGAAGAAATAAACCAAACCACAATAAAAACCACAATAAAAAACACAAATGCAGAAGTGAAGATCATGAGAACGCGGAGATGCTGCAACTTCTTGACAATCTGGAAGCGACACGTAGGAGGCTAAAAGAAATTGGGCCTCTTGATTTGATAGCAAATCCTAGCTAAGATAAAATAAAAAGAATAATTCTTTGGGAGACGTCACTGGATATCTACCCAGTGATATAAATTGATTAAAAGTGGTAAAAAAAAATTACTAAATAGGTTGTCATTAGGCTTAGTTGTAATAAATAATTGATAAAAATATATATGTATATATATCGATATACTGCCTTTATGAAAATGCATCAAAAGACAAACCTGCAATGTACATATGTATATTGATATTTATGAATTTTAATATATGTACATTTCTGGTTACGTGGCCTATAAACTAAAAAATGAAATTAAATGCTCGACATCCGTACCGTTTCAATTCTTTTGTTTAATTAAACTAATTTCGAATTTCAATAGTCAAAGAGCGGACTATGTTATCCATTAAATTATTAAAAATATGTAAATTGTGTGAAATGTAAATTGAATAAGGAAATTAAGTGGGAAATAATTAAAGATTTTTTAGTCGATAACAAATTTAAGACATAATAATACATTATATGCATGTAAATTTTATAAATTCAAATAAATTATCATACCATAGAGCGACAAAGGAGAATAGATATAGTTGACCGTGTCAACTCTGCGATAGCCTTGCGAATCAATAGTTTTAAGTTCTGTAAGTACTGAAATTTAAAAAAACTATAACGGTAAGTTATATATGTATTCTGCAACTACCAGAAGGAGCCAAGCAATGAATTTTATTGGAATTTATTTTTTTAGAATATTTAATATAGATATTTTACTGAAATCTTAATCGATATGGCGCTAGTGAAAAAGGTTTATTAAACCAAAAATAAGGTAAAAATATACGTTAAAGTATTTCGTTTTTACCTTTATAAAGGTTTGTTTACATATCCATATTAGTTTTATCTTCAACTTATCGTACATAATTATGAATAGTTTGCAAACTTATTTCCATATACATATGCTGATATCAAATGTACAAGTTAACTTAATAGGTACTTCGCAAAAAAAAATTTTTTTTGTTTCTTGTAAAGTAGCATTTATTAAAATTTAAAAAAAATGAACAAAGTTTGCAAGATTTTTTTTGGAATAGATTTTTCAAAGTTGCTATACAACAAAATTAGAAAAATGTTGGTACCAGGAATTGATTTCTGTGGGGAATTTATGAAAATGGAGCCCTGGTTATTATCTATTCGTAAACTGCGCATAATCACATGTATAACATATTTTTGAGGTATTATTTTTGTTGTAGTATTTTTTTTTATTTTCCACCACAGAAAAACAAAAAAAAAACATGACAGAACCTTTAGAAAAAAAAATACATATACTATCTATGTATTGGACATGGGATAATAAAAAATATAGAATTCATAATAATTGTTGTTACACTTTTTATAAATTACAATTTTTGTGTATTATGAAGCATATTAATTAAATTAATATAGTATACACACGAAAAATATGTAGATATTCATGTATATCTATATGTTAATAGATTATATTATAAGAATACAAATTGTGAGGGAACATCACACATTAGCAAACTTGTTAATATCAAATGTACATTTTCTTAAATTTTAAAAAATACACAAAAATCAACTTAATACTTCGAGAAATTGAATTTTAACTTTTTCTAATTAAAAATTTGAAAAAAGGTGATCTTGTGGGAGGTTTATTATGTTAAAAAGGGTCCTCTATAGCTTCCATAACAATGCGTGTAAATTCTTCAGCTGTGAACTCTCTTTTAGGCTCTCTTTTACTGGCTTACTATGTACATATGTAATTCGAATTTGATTTCACTGTGATTTTCGTCACAGTAAGGGCCCTGCATTGCTGTCAGTCGAGGTTTTCATACTTTTTTAGTTTAGTTTATACAAAGGTATAATACATACAGTATACTCACAAAAAAATTAAAAACACCAAATATTTTATCAAAATTGTCTTCCTTCATCAATTTCTTAAAGCAGTTTTGCATCTTGTACCGGATTTCTCGCTATATCTAAATGCACGTTGATAGCAATATTATGCAGGTATGTACATATATACATACATATGTATGTGTGATATCCTGTATATTTTGCCACTTTAATCTTTATTTTGCGATACAATCGTCAGAGTTTAAATAAAGTTTTTGTATTTAAATAAAACATATTTTTAATTCTAAGAATTTCGTTCAAATGCAATATTTTTCAAGACCGATGATCAAGTTAAAATAAAAATGTTTTGCGAATACTATTTGGTTTTTGTTTCAACTAGTGTTGCCAGATCGTATGAAATTTCCATTTTGGCAAGACTAACTAATTGTTTCTAACCCAAAACCAACAAATTATAGAAGTATTGCTGTCAGAACAGAACCAAAGCAATGAGCGATAACGGAGAACTATATCTGCTGTAAACGAAGAACAAAAGCGGTAAATAGTTTGACTACTATAGAAACAGATAAAATGTAAAAAAAAAGTTAGCGATAAAAAAGAAATTATATGTACTAAACTATAAATATACTTAAACTATATTATACTTATTTATTTGAAATATCTGTAAAAAAAAGTCAAATTTAAACAAAACACATTAATTTGTTTTTCTCTTTGAATAGATTTATTTTATAAATCCAAATGAAATATACATATTTTAATACCACAATATGTCTCTTGAAAATTAACATATTTTTTCAAATACTTTTGTCCTGTGTTAGATTTAGTTGCAATGTACTTGCTGTTGATGACGATGATATTTACAAAACATTTTTTAATGCAAGGCGTTGTTGCAGCGACGTTTCACCAAATTTTTTAGTTTCGAATACAAAATAACTCTAAAACAATATAACTTTTAAGAAATGTTTGTAATATTTCAGTTTTTACTCTCTAAAGAAAATTGTTTATTTTCGTTTGCTTCATCATTAGTTAACTGAGTTTCACATACTTATTCATTCTAAAACAATATACATGTGCATTTAATATATTATATTTCGCACTAATATTCTAATTTGCTTGCACTCAACGATATTTCAATTTATTGTTGCATTCTTTTTATACAATTTCTACTACACAATTTCTTTTTATATTTCGAATCTAAATGTTATGAACATACAGTACTATTTGATAAAATATTTGAAATAAAAACTTCTTCAGTCCCCTTTCTTCACTTTTCGTTCTGTAATCCACTTTCTTTTCATATAATAATTTGAAGGAAAACGGTAAATATACATATATAAAAAAAAAGTTCATAAAATCAAGCACAAACTAATTTTGCTTAGAAAAAAAAGCTACCTCTTGGTAAAATTATGTCATCTGAAGTAATTTTAATTAACAATAAAACAAAAACAAATGTTTTTTTTCCAAAATTAAAAATTTAATAAATTTACGTATTATAAATTAAATTTAACACTATTGAAAAATTATTCGTTTTGTTTATTAAGATAAATAATATTAATATGTAAATCGTATAAAACATCTATTTGTGTTTTTAAATAGGAATAAAAATCTAGATAATTTTGTTCTTATCTCGATTTGTTATATTTTGTTATAACAAAAACCTAATGTCTTTATATCTAACAAGTCCCAATGCTCAGAGAGAAACTTGAAAGCACGACCTTATTTTATATGGGTTTTTTTAAATCGAAGTGGCTATTTTTTGAGAAGAAATATTAAAATAAATTCAGACTTATTATAAAGCAGGTAAAATTTAGAAAATATATTTGAAAAAATCAAAAAAATATATTAATATTTTCATTGATAATTATTTTAAAATTTAAAAAAAAAGCGAAAAAACAACAAGTACAACCTTCGCCTTCAACGTTTTATATGTTACTGAAAGCATTTCATTATTTTAAAGTGAACAGCTTTTTTTTCTCATACGGTAAGTTAACTCAAGATATGGGAAGTAACTGTGATATCAAGTTGAAAATATAATTAATGAAAGATAATTCTTAAATATTGATATAAATACATAGTAAAGAAACAATTTGAAGAGGGAATTAGAAAATAATATCTAAAATACAATCAAATATTATTTGTTAAATACAAATTTTATATAAACTTCAAAATTTTACCTCTATTTTAATTTGACAAAATATTAAAAACTTACTATCATTTATATCAATTACCTAAGAAAAAAAAATATTTAAAACGTTTGGAAAAAACAATCATATATTTTTATGACCGGATTTGAATATTTTTATATTTTTGAAATAAATGGTATTTTACCAAATGACTCAAAAATTCCGACTGTAAAATAACAGGTATTTTAAAATTTTTGTTCTTTATGTAATATTCTTTCCGTTTAAGATAGGTCATACATACACATGCACGGACATTTTATAAATAGATTGCTCTTGTTTACCTGCTAATAAAATATGAAAAAAGAACACAGCAAAATTTTTGAAGCACTCAATATAACATGTTTGAAATAATTTTAAAATAATTATTTAAAAAAAATTTATTGGAAGTAGGTACATACATATTTATTTTTAATAACTTAAAAACTAACTGAAATTATTTGAAACAATTTTATAAGTAACATATAAATAACCGAAATGAGATAATTCAAATTGTTGAAATGTGTCAACCTATATTATTTTTATTAACATTTTTGTTAGCCGACACTACTCAACTTACCTTATTGGGAAATACAAAATGTGCATGAAAAATCATACATCCTTCCTCATTAACATTTGAAACCATACTGAAATATGAATTTGAAATTTTTTCTCATTTTTTCTTTCCTCCTACCTTTCTTTCTTTTTCGTGCAATAGAATTTAAATGGGAAGCTTTTTAAAAAATGTGTATAATATCCTGAGATTTTTTTAAATATTAAACTCTTTTTTACGTAAAAAGAAAGAAAAAAATAATAAAAAATATGACACGATCAGTGGCACTTAAAGAAAAAACCAGCAACGAAGCCAAAAATTCGTAATATTTCGTAAAAAAAATTGAGTATCCAATTGATTATTTATGTTCATCTCAAAATGGATAACTTACCCTATGAGAAAAAAAAGCTGTTCACTTTAAAATAATGAAATGCTTTCAGTAACATATAAAACGTTGAAGGCGATGGTTGTGCTTATTGTTTTTCCGCTTTTTTTTAAATTTTAAAATAATTATCAATGAAAATATTAATATATTTTTTTGATTTTTTCAAATATATTTTCTAAATTTTACCTGCTTTATAATAAGTCTGAATTTATTTTAATATTTCTTCTCAAAAAATAGCCACTTCGATTTAAAAAAACCCATATAAAATAAGGTCGTGCTTTCAAGTTTCTCTCTGAGCATTGGGACTTTTTAGATATAAATAAATTACAAAAAATAATTAAAGCAAATAGCTTTTTTCAAATTATAAATAAACAACAGCTGCCAGCAAATTATTGCCAAAGTATATCTAAGTATTAGTATATCTAAGTATATCAAAGTATTAATAAGTAATTCGACTCTTTGCATCGAACTAATGCAATCACTCACCAAAGTATGCAAAAAATTCCCTTACCTAAAAGAGTTAAGCAGTGTACCTTTTTATTTTCATTTTATACACATAAGAATTTTTGGGAGAGGAAAAGAGCACACAATAGATGTCTACCTGGTTTTTTATAATGTATTTTTAAAAGCGGGAGTTTTTATTTTTTCGTATATAAAGTATAGGAAAAAATATTAAAAATTTTAAAAGCGGGAATTAAATTTCTGTAACTTATTCCAGTACAAGGTGGCAGATATGATGTATCCATATTATAAAACCGAAGCGATTTAAAAACAAAATTTGACTATTAAAATAAAAAAAAATATAATTTACATATTATATGTATATAATTTGGAAAAGACAAATAATATTAACAAAAAATTAAAATTTGTAATAATAATAACAAAAAACTTAAAATTTGTAATTGTCATTACATTTATTGTACTATAATTTTTTTATTTTTATTTCAATTTTGTTTTAAAAATTTAAAACAAATATTTCTTATGAATAAACATACATACACGCGTATCGGAAATAGGCATTTTTTTTATAAATTGCTTAATTTCTATGTCGCATCTTTGGGCTTAAAAGCCCAAAAACGACGTTTAGCTATTAAATTTCAAATTATTAACATTTCAAGTCAAGTAAGCGAATTGAGTGAAGCCGGCTTCAGACCAAGTAACGTTTATATAGACAATAATAATGAATAAGTTTGTACCGTATAACAAAGTATGAAATTTTAAATTTATAACTATTACTTTCATACATTCGAATGCTTTTATCAATCTTTTATGAAATGAAAAATAAAATATTAAAAAAATGTTTTTGTTATCAAAATAAAAATAACACAATTTTTACATAACTTAATTTTATTTTATTTCCGTTCATCGCTTTTGATACACTCGTTTGTTTACAATATTTTGTTTCTTTCTTGCCTATACAACTCTTATTAGCATCAATTTCTAAATAAAAATGGAATATTTTAAGAATTTGAAAGCAAAATGCAAACGAAAGCTAACGGAATGGAACTAGTCGAACTGCTTATTAATAGACATACTTTGATTAGTACTAATTCACTTGTCAAAATCTCTGTGGCATAACTTTCGACGGATTGCAAAATAAAACGCACAACTGTTAGCTTTTATATTATACTAAAAGAAACGAGTTGCGAACGATATTTTAAATTAGAACAGTAGATACGAACTTACCCAAAATTTTTAATGAAGTTTTACACGTTTGATTTATTTTATGTCTTTATTTTTTTAAACTCTTAATAAATAAAGTGTGTTTATGACACATGCAGACTTTTTAAGAAATTTAGCTCTGTAACATTATTGTTAAAAATCCGGCTGAAAAATTGGATAATAATCGAAAAGTTTGCTATTTTGTATTTGGTTTTAATCTGGTATATACATTTTGCGTTTGTTTTATTTAAACAAAAAAAAAATAAACCTTTACGTATCAGATTGATTTTACACCTTTACGTCAAACTTTTGTCACAAACGACGACAGATTTCGATTTCATATCAGATTTTATAAAAGGCTTGTAATATAATTTGTTAAGATTATAATAAAATCTTTAAATAAAAATGTAAACTATAAGAAACTATGGAAATTGTTGACAAGTTCTTGAAAGATTTTAGCAAACAATAAAAGAACCGCACAACTCTTTTCGTCATATAACATGAAGTTGTCAGTCTCACATTGTCTCTGTGATGTCCATGCATTTTTTGTAGTTATAAAAGAAAAATAGAAGTTTGCATAAATTGTTAAAAAATGGAGTAATAATTTAAGATGCAACCTGTAATCTCAGAACAAGGTATGGTTGGAATTGGAAATTCCCTTCACATACGATTTTCATGCCCGAGTGACAGTTTTGGTATTATAGGTTTAATAGTAGAATATATTTCGTGATAACCGCATGTCGCGTGCATCAAGGTCGCCTTTGATGTATCAATTAATAAAGCATAAGCGTTTTCTTTCAATCTGTAATATTGCGTTTTCGCTTAATTTTTTTTGTGACAAAAGGAGGTGACAATCGACAAGTACTAAATTAAACCTAAACGTCAAATTCTTATTTGACATATTCATTATTCACACACGAAAATATTTTTATACAATAGAATTATAAATCTCATTCAAAATAAATTAACAAAATTTCGTTGCTAGAAAGTAAAACACGTTCTATAACCAATTTTGAATCTTTATATATACATATATTTGCCCAATAAGTGCTGTTTTGGCTGAATTGAATTTAGAAACTACTAGTAAGTATATTATATATGCAGGTAGGTAATATAAAACCATGAACTTACAATTCATTGTTAAAAAAATAAAAGAAAGAAAGTTTATTTGTTTTTCAAAATATAGGACATGGCTGTAAAACAAAATAGTGCGGAAAACTCAAATCATGCTTCATCAGCTAAAAAGCAGAAAAGCTCGAAACAAAACCAGCAACCTAAACATGAAAAAATTAATCCCCAGGCTGGAAGTTCGCAAAATTGTAGTATAAACAATGAAGTCAACAAAGAGAATCGGTAATTTTTGCTTTACTATTAGCTTAGTTAAGTTCTAAATCCTTTTTTTTTGAAATGTTACTTTTAAGCTAATCAGTTTATAATTATTTTAACTTTTTATTTGCAGTTATGAAAATGTTAGCAATCATTTAACCATCGAAATGATTCTAATGTGTTTTGAAAAAGTGCATAAAAAACAGGATGATTTGACTTTAAATGAAACTTTGAATTATTGTTCAGATTTTATACGAAAAATGGCAGAATTGCCAGAGCCTCATGATGCATCTGAAATTAAGTTATTTAAAGAGAATATTCAGGGAATTGGCAAGCTGCTTGAAGGCATTGCTTCATACAATCGAGAGCATACTCAAAATTTCTATTTAAAATATTTAAACGTTGTTTGTGAGCTAATAGCTACAGATGGATTTGATCCATGTTATGCTATTGCCATTATTTTTCAGTTATTTCCTGATGATTTCATTTTAAATGCAGTTATATTACCATTAATAACGCGAACTCAGAATGATGAGAGAATTATAAAGAAAAGTGTTCGCATTTTATGCGATTGGTTGAGAAAATGTACATTTTGTTCTAATTTAAACTTGTGGATATTAGCAATATTTAGTGAACTTAAAAAAGATGTAACTAAATATAATTTGCTCATCGAAACATCTCTTTTAGTAATTGAGCCCCTTACAATTGCTTTAATTATACCTATTCTCAGGCCTAAAGTTTATCCAATAGTGTTTGAAATTTTGACTTCATTTAAGGATTCGCCTGTTGTTTTTCATAAAGTAATATAATATTTTTTTTAAAAATCAATTTTTAAAACAATTTTGAAATTTTAGACGGTTACAAGAATGCCTTTAGTACTGAAACAGTTGAAAAAAGAATGTGAAACGACCACAGAAAATCAGCAACAGACAAAAAAAATATTTCATGAACTAGTAGATTTAATGGCAGCCTTAACGGAAAATTTTCCAAATCATCAAGACTTGTATAAACAATTGGTAAATAAATGGAATTTTAAAAAAGTGTTATGTTATGTTTCTGCTTTATTTTAGAATGAAATTATTCTGCAGTGTCAAAAATCATATGAATACAGATCCGCTTTAATTGGTGGGAATTCATTATACCTTAGCGATCCCCAAATGGATTATAATAACGCAGTTATTCTAAATAATCCAAAAGTTGGTTTAGTTAATCTTGGAAACACTTGTTATATGAACAGCGTTTTACAAGCATTGCTTATGACAAAGGAGTAAGCCAAATTATTCTTATATTTTTTAAGATTTTTTTTATTGTAAACGATATCTTTGCAGTTTTTGTCGGGATATATTGCTTTTGAAGTCGAAAACGCAGATTTTGTACAAAATACAACAATTTTTCGCATTACTATTGCATTCATCCCGACCAGAACTGACACCTTCAGTTATATTGCAAGTTGCAAGACCTCCAGGATTTTCTCCAGGGTTTCAGCAAGATAGTTCTGAATTTTTAGGTTATTTCTTGGAAACATTACACGAACAAGAATTGAAGTCTATTAAGGCAGGTGAACAATTATTGAAAAGCCACAATGATAAATTAGGTGAAAACAAATTAGCAATTGCTCAAAACGAGCAGCAGATCAATGGCGCTGTAGCTGAAAACTGTGATGTTGATGTAATAGATAGCGTAGAAATATCAAAAGGAGTAAAGCTAGAAGATAATCTAACTTTGGAAATGGAAATTGATGAAATACCAAATAATAATGAAATTGACGTTTCAAAATCTAAAGATCTTATACTCACCACGATTGACAAAAACTTTACAGGAAAAATTGTTACAACTTATAAATGTTTAGTGTGTGATTTTGAATCAAAAAATATTGATTCATTTAGAGAGTTACAGTTGTCATTTCCTGATCAAAAACATATTGAGGATGGATTTCCACTTACTTCACATTCTTCTGATAATAGTAACAGTTATTCTATTCAAAATTTATTAGGTATAATCATGTTGATTAGTTTAATTAATAACTAATTTAATTAATTTTATTACTATTATTACAATATTACACAGATTTTCACTGTTCGACCGAAAAACTTAATGGAGATAACCAATACTTCTGCGAGAAATGTAAAAAATTGTGTGATGGTGAGCGATCACAAAATTATGTTATACCACCAATTAATTTAATTGTGACACTTAAGCAATTTAAATATGATCAAAAATATAACATGAGAGCAAAACTAATGCATAGAATTCATCTAAATCAAAATTTATCTTTAAATATAATTTCGCAAAACGATAACAACAAAATAGAAACCATTGATTATTGTATGTATGCTGCTGTAGTTCACACTGGTTTTAATATGGATTCTGGACATTATTATACATATGCAAAAGATGCCAAAAATCCAACGAATATAGATCCAAATGGTGAATTAGATCAAATTTGGTTTAAATTTAATGATAATTATGTAACAGAATGTAGTGAAATAGAATTATACAATATAAATCCACCAAATACCCCTTATATATTATTTTATAGAATGAAATCACGAAGTCGATTAGATGGTTGCAAAACTGAAATTAAACCTTCTATTTGCCCATTTTTGGATGAACTACCCTTACCTTTAAAAAATTATGTCAACGAAGATAATGTGGAATACAAAGCTGAAAAGGAACGCTGTACACAACCGGATAAAGTTAGGTTAATATTGCGTTTAGATTATTAATCTTTTATATGCAATTAATAATGTCAATATTAATGACGACTGTAGGAGTAATAATAACTAAATAAGTAGGGGTGGATCATTTTGAAAAATTTATCTGACCATCACGTAATTGTTGGTGATAATGCGCTTGGCAATAACTTCTAACTTAATTTATTCATTTGTGTAAAAATATGAATTTTTAAAAAGAATCGTAAATATACATATATTGTTTTAAACATATTTGATAATTATTAAAGTTTTCCCATTTTTTGTAAAGATGTTACAACAAATTTTCCTTGTACATTAATTTCTTGAGGCTTAAATATATAAATTTAAGTAACATTTATAACTATAGCTTTTATTTTTTAAAAAATTTGATTTAGATATCGTAGATATTGTATGTTTACACATATATTAATGTATGCGTTTATTAGCTTAATTAATAATATTAAATTTATATAACATTGTACCACTCCAAAAGCCCTACAAAATGTACCTAGTTACTTAAATGTAAATTTATTATTTTATATTAATAAATTTTCTATATTAAGTATTTATATCATATACATGTTAATATCATTGTTAATTTTCTGTTCTGAATTATTTGCTTACAAGCAAACAGTTTCTGTGAATTAATTATTTCATAATTATTATTTTTTTAAATTGGCCAATTCAAACAAATGATATTATGTTCCTTGAAGTATTTATGTATGTGTATTAACTAAATTTTAATCAACTAAATTTTAACTTGACATTTTCAATTTTTTAACTTAATTAAATTAAATCCCACCAATTAATTGAGATAATAGATAAAATTTTAACCATTCTCTAAGCAAGCTAAAATATTTTAAGAAAAATGCATTGAATTGGAGCAAACTAAAAAATCAGTTATTTATTTTTTTTTCAAAAGAAATGGGGAAAGTAGACTAAATTTAGATTAGTTATAATTTTGTAAAGAATTTTAAATTTTAATTTTAATATAACATTGAATATTTTCGAAAAACGAAACAGTAAATTAAATAAGTTCACATACGTGTGTGTAATATGCATTTCTTTTAATATAAATATTAAAATCGTATATGATTTCACCGGAACAGATAAGCAAAGATTGTGCTGCACCATAATAGTATTTTGGTTTAATATTGCCAAAATAAACGCTACTTAAACACTATTCTCGTCTTACAAAACACGACTCTTGCCATTCTTCTTGCTATTTGACACAAAATTTAGAAAGATAGCTAGTTCAAACCAAGATTAATTGATAACATTAATAAAATAAATCTTACAAATTATTTAATGAAAGTAATGACTTAAATCAAACTATAATAAAATAAAATAAAAAAAAAGATTTTTTAGTAAATTCTACAGTCTATTGATTTTTTTGCTTCTTCATAAAATATAGTTTTCTAGAAAAATTGAATTGGAATGTTCATACATAAATAACGACTTATAAAACAACATGTACTTAATTTAAAAATTGCAACTTGTTTAACGAATCCTTTAAGTAAAGTTGGAAATAAAAGATTCGTAATAAAGTACCTTATGTAAAAAAATATATTATTTGTTATGCTATTCTTATTTTAAACATTTTATTATATATAGATAGAAACAAATAAAAGTTTGTTGTTATTAAACTAACTTTTTTAACAAAAATTGAAAAAAAAAATTGTTTTATTTAATTTTACAATGTTGTAAATGTACAACACGTGTATAAATAACTAAAGCTAGTGAAAGTTTTCACTCCTTCAGGCAAATATTCTAGCATTAATTAAGTAGTAATAATTAAAGTATAGAAAACATATGTACGTAGTTTGAAGCATATAATATAATTGGATTGTAAGAACCTATTTCAGGAGAAAATAAGAAATCAATTCGGTAAAATTGATACTTTAATAATATATTACGACGTCGGTTGGAGATTTTCGTTAACTCAGACATGCACCGAAAATGCTAAATTAAACCTTAAAACTATTTTCTACAAACTTGAACATCTGCAGAATATTTTACTTTTGCAAATTTCTGATGTAGGTACTCGAGTAACAATATCCAATATTTTTCTATTGTAGTCTTCTTCTAATTCATATTTTTGCAGCAGTTATATAAAAACTAAAAAATCCTCTAGAAATTTCTATAGAAATACATAATCAGGTTCTAATAATTAGGTTCTATGAATATTATTCGATCCTGTGGATATAATTCGGTCCAATGAATATAATTTTGTCCTATGGTTATAATACGCTCATATGGATATAATTCGGTTCTATAGATATATTTCGGTGTTATGGATATAATTTTGTCTTATGAATATGGTTCGGTCCTATGAATATAATTTTGTCCTATGGATTTAGTTCGGTCTATGGGTATGAACCTGTGCTACGGATGTAATATAGATATAGAAGGGTTCTATTGGTATAATTCGATCTCATGAATATAATTCGTTCTTTTGAATATAATTGTGTCCTAGGAATATATTTGGTATCCAACGGATACAATTTGGTCCTGTAGATATTATTCGGTCCTATGGATATAATTCGGTGCTATTGATATATTTCGGTGCTAGGCATATAATTCGGTGGTATTGATATAATTCGCTCCTACAAATATATTTCTTTCCTCTGGATATGATTCTGTCATAATTTGGCCGCATGGATATAAACTAGTCCTATGGATATGGTCAGGTCGTGAAAATATATTTTGATTGTATTGATATATTTTGGTCCTATGGATATACATATATTGGTCGTATGAATATAATTTGGCCCTATGAATATAGTTCAGTCCTATAGATATATTTCTTTTGGTCGTATGAAAATAATTCGGTCCTATATGAATATATTTCGGTCCAATGGATATATTTTGGTTCTATGGATATAATTCCATCTTATAGATATGATTCAATCATAGATATTTTTTGGTCTTATGGATTTAAGGCGGACCGGACCGCTTGTAACGGAATAATTCGAGTATAATTCGGACATAATTTTGGAATTATGGATATAATTCGGTCCTACGGTAATATTTCAATATTTCGGTCATATGTATATATTTTGGTGCCATAGATATAATCCGGTCCTGAAAATGTATTTTGGTCGTATTGATATATTTTGCCACTATGGATATATCTCGGTCGTATGGAAATAATTTAGTCCAATGGATATATTTCGGTTGTATGAGTATAATTTGGTGCTATTGACATATTTCGGCGGTATAGATATAGTTGTCTTATGAATATAATTTGGTGTATAACTCAGATATCTATAGATATAACTCAGTCATATGGATATATGTATTTCGGTCCTGTGATCATGTGAAATTCGGTGCTGTGGATATAATTCCGTCCTATAAATATATTTTGATTTTATGGATATATGTATTAAATAAAGTGCAACCTGCGAAACAAGATTGCAATGATTAATCTATTTCGCATGGTTCTCAAGTTATAAGCATTTATTTAAGTGCAAGAAAATCTGGTACTTTTGTTTTCAATAGTTTGTAGCTCAAGTGCGAGTATCTGCACCTCCTTTCCTATCCATACAATTTTAATACAAGCAAAATTTACCCTAGTATATAAAATATATTTACCCTAGTACAAAATTCCGACAATTTCTATAAAAAAAACTAAAGAAATATTTGCCTATTAAAAACAACGTTAACTCATCTCCATATAACCTTAAGTTAAGCGTCAAATTTAACCATTGAATTAAGACTTCCTTTAAATTTTTGTTTTCGTCCTAAATATATGCAATATCAGCAAGATGCAAAATAAAGATATGATTTAAGTTGTGAAATATTGGTTTCTAAAAAAGTACTTATTTTTACTTGTTCAAGTAAAATGTACTACTTTACAGACCATTGGTTTGGTCCGAAGTAATTTTTTCGAGTCACTTACATTTAGGTCCACTTTTGGTTTACAGAAGTAGTAAATTGACCAAAAGTGGACCTAAGTGTAAGTGACTCGTAATTACACGCCTGAATTACTTTTTTTGAGTGACGCTAATGAGTAATAAATTTTAAAAGAATTTTTTTTTTGAATAGTCACACTCAAAAAAGTACGCTTGTGTAATTACAGAAATTATCTTCTGTATATCGCTACACTATGTACCAAAGAGTTACTCTCAAAATTTTGTAAATTTAAAAAAGTAGCTGAAAAAGCATTTCCGTGTCTTACTTCACGGTATGTAGACTCGAAAAGATCGGTGGAGCAAGAGTTATAGTTAGTTATTTTGACTATTTTTGTTGAATTTGAGTTCATTTATCTTTGTCTCTCAAAATTTTTAACATCTGTAATAAAAAAAGAAAAATTTGAACATTTTCAGTTCCCAAGAAAACTGGTGAGCTCAACTTATAAATGCGAATAACGAACTGAACTCAGCTTAAGAGTCTAATTCATATATTTTTCGGATGTAAGTAGATACGTAGTTGAATTTTTTTTAAATAAACATACATATGGGTGTATGTATAAAGTTCTCTATAAGAAAGAATATGTACTTTAAAATACACAGATGTCAATAAAGTATTGTATGATTTGAATAAATTTAAATGTATTGGTGTGTATGTATGAATATTTAAAACAGATAATACTTGGAAATACATATGTAAATATGTTGATAACAAAACTCTGGAAATGTAATTATTCAAAATATATTTTTTAAATCAAAAAAGGAAAGACTGCAATTCAAAACAATTTCACATAGGTAGGGAAGGGAAAAACAAATATAAAAGAAATCACTATAAATGCGTGGGCGTTAGTGCGCTTGCTCGGAAAATTCATTAAGAAAATAAAATTTTTTTTCTTGTATTTCTGTATAAAATTATTTTGTTGGAATTTTCAAGTTGCTTTCAGTTTATTTTTCTAAAGAAAATTCTCTTAGATTTTTCGTACATCATATATATATATACGTAACGTGAATGCATATTTTATGGTGTTTGTATATTTGTAAAGGTGTTTTCGAAAATGAAGATTTAATTAAGAATCCTTTTCGGAAAGCTTTCACACTCATTTTTTAAGTTTAACAGAATTTCCTACACTGTTTTCTATATTTATATGTTACCCAACATACTTATATTATATATATTATATGAATAGACAGATACATTACGTATTTGTGAAATTACACAGGCTGTCTTGTATTTAAGTGCACTGCTATATAATATGGTGTATAAATAATAGACCTTTATATGGTACAAAAGTTTTGTGTGGAGATTACGTTCATAGTTCAATAGGTTCCGAGTTTCAGAGG